CTCCTGGCTCAAGAGAGTACGCCTTCGCGGCTCCTGGTGCAAACTTATACACTCACTTACCTCACGATTACTTACTACTTGGTCTCAGACCTGTCGTCAGTTCTTCAAGTACATACATGTCCGTGGTACCATCTCGGCGGCGTGCCCAGGGGGAACGGGCAAGGGGGGCGATCTTCTCAGAAGGCGGGTGAATTTGCCGGAAGCCCTCCCGCCCTCTTGCAGGCGAGTTCCCCCGCCTGGGCGATCGATCTTCGGGGACCTCGGAAGGCTGTGGATATGGACTTTCTTCGAGTGCTGGCGGGGCTTCATTCATCCAGTCGACCTGGACGTGTTCCATAGTTTCTGGCGTTTACGAAGCAGTCCTGCCCTGTTGTATTATTTCCTCTTAGGTGTGTTTGTTGAGTTGGGCTTCGCCTGTAGGCGTGCTTCTTCTGACGGTGGTTATTATGTTCTCTTGTGGTGTTAGTCTCTCATCATGGGTAGTGCCGCACTCCACAAACGCGAGTCGCCCGCTCTGCGGGGTAGGGGGAGGAGAAAATGGAGGACGAGGAGGAGAAATGAGGAAGCGAGGAAGCGGACGAAGAGGAGTAGAAGTGGGAGTAGGAATAGGGGTAGGAGTAGGAAGAGGAGGAGGAGGAGGAGGAGGAGGAGGAGGAGGAGAAGGAGGAGGAGCTAGGAGCTAGGAGCTAGGAGCTAGGGGGGCGGAGGGAGGAGTGAGGAGGGTGGGAGGAGGGAGCAGGGAGCAGGGAGGAGGGGGGAGGTAGGAGGGATGAGAGATGAGGGAGGGAGGGAGGGCGGGAGGGCTGGCGGGCTGGAGGGAGGGAGCATTGTGTGGAGGGAGGGAGGGAGGGAGGGAGGAGGAGGAAGAGGAGGAGGAAGAGGAGGAGGAGGAAGAGGAGGAGGAGGAGGACGAGGAGCAGATGATCTGCGCCGCGGCCGCTCCCCTCACTCGGCGCGACCAGCTCAGCCGGTCCCCCCCCCCCGCTGCTGCTGCTCGACGCCTCGTGCCCCACGCCGCCGCTGGCTGGCACACAACAGTAGTTCGTCGTCGTCGTCGTCGTCGTCGTCGTCGTCGTCGTCGTCGTCGTCGTCGTCGTCGCAGGTGGCCCTCCCCCCCCGGGCGCGCCGCCGAGCCTCCGCCACCTTCCCGCCCGCGGGCGGGCACGCCCTGCCGCTGAAGCTGCGCCTGGGCGACGGCGGCAGCCGCGCCGCCGGCAGCGACACCTGCACCGGCTCGGACCGCGACGGCTCAGACACGGCCTCGGACGGCGCCGCGGAGCCCTGGCCCGCCGTGGGCGCCTGCCTCCCCCTGGGGCTCCGCCTCCCGCCAGGCCGGGGGGGGCTCGCGCAACGGGGGTCCACGCCCAGAGAGCGTTTTTTGTTTCCGGTTTTTGTCATTATATATATATATATATATATATATGTACATACGACCACCTTTCGGGTAATCAGGAGGTTCGGGGGGGGGAGGAACCAACGTCTCACTCGATTGGTCTCACTATCGATCTACCGATCGTTCTCACTATCGGTCTCGCTCGATCGATCTCACTCGATCGATCTCACAATCGATCCCACTCGATCTATTTCATTCGATCGATCTCACAATCGATATGATGATCGATCTCACTATCGATCGCATTATCGATAACACAATCGATCTCACATTCGGTCTCACTATCGATCTCACTATCGATGTTACTGCCGATATTACAATCAACGTCATCATCACCAACAGCATCGTCACCAGCATCATCATCATCATCAGCACCATCATCGGGGCACCATCATCATCACCTCATCACCATGATCATCAACATCATCATCATCGGGACACCATCATCGTCACCCTCATCACCATCATCATCATCATCATCATCATCGGGACACCATCATCAGCATCATCATCATCGGAACACCATCATCATCATATCATCATCATGAACAATATCATCAACAACATCGGGACACCATCATCATCATCAGCAACATCATCATCATCATCATCATCAACATCATCATCGGGACACCATCATCATCGTCACCATCATCATCATCACCATCATCGGGACACCACCATCATCATCAACATCAGCATCATCATCGGAACACCACCATCGGGCCACTATCATCAAAATTATCGTCAGCACCTCATCATCATCCTCATCATCAACATCATCAGCAACGGGACACCATCATCGTCATCATCAACATCATCATCTGGGCACCATCATCATCACCATCATCATCACAATCATCATCACCAGCATCATCATCAACCTCATCATCATCATCAGCAACGGGACACCATCATCATCTGCATCATCATCGGCATCCTCATCATCATCTGATCATCATCAAGATCATCCGGATCATCAACATCATCATTATTATTGGGACACCATCATCATCAGCAACATGACCATCATCGGGACACCATCATCACCACCATCACCATCATCATCAACAACATCGTCATTATCATCACCATCGGGACACCATCATCATCACCACCATCACCATCATTATCATCATCAACATCATCATCATCATCATCATCAACATCATCATCATCATCGGGACACCGACGGGACACCGGCGGGACACCGCGCGGCACCGGACGCCGGAAGGGAGTCATTTGGTCCGGCCGCGCCTCAGCCACAGCGGGACACCGGCGGGACACCGCGCGGCACGGGTTGCCGGAAGGGAGTCGTTTGGTCCGGCCGCGCCTCAGCCACAGGAGACTTTATTCTCGCCCGCCCACGCAGCTTCGCCTCGCCCGCACGCACGGCACGCACGAAGACGAAGCCGAAGCCGATTTCCCGGTAGGGGGGCTCTCCGTTCCACTTCGATCTCACCCGTTCATTTCCGATATATATATATATACATATGTAGCAAGCTGGGATTGTGCTAAGTTTCTGTTATATCGGAGGTGATTGGTGAGATCGAAGTGGAGAGCCCCCCTACCGGGAAATCGGCTTCGGTTTCGTCTTCGTGCGTGCCGTGCGTGCGGGCGAGGCGAAGCTGCGTGGGCGGGCGAAAAAATGTCCCGCCTCTGGCTGAGGCGCGGCCGGACCAAAAGTCTCCCTTCTGGCAACCGGTGCCCCGCGGTGTCCCGCCGGTGTCCCGTCGGTGTCCCGATGACGTTGATGATGATGATGACGATGTTGATGATGATGATGATGATGATGTTGATGGCCATGGTGGTGATGATGATGGTGTCCCGATGATGATGATGATGTCAATGATACTGGTGCTGTTGATGATGATGATGATGGTGTCCCGATGATGGTGACGATGATGTTGATGATCATGATGATATTGATTATGATGAGATGATGATAATGATGCTGCTGCTGATGCTGATGATGATGAGAATGATGATGATGGTGATGATGATGGTGTCCCGGTGAAGTTGATGATGAGGAGGTGGAGGATAATGTTGTTGATGATGGTGGTGATGATGATGGTGGTGTCCCGATGATAGTGTTACTGTTGATGATGATATTGACGATGATGGTGTCCGCGTGATTGTGATGTTGCTGAGGATGATGATGAGGTGATGATGATGATTTTGATGGTGGTGGCCAGATGGTGATGATGATGCTGTTGGTGGTGTTGATGATGATGGTGTCCCGATGCCGATGGTGATGGTGATGTCGATGGTGATGATGATGATGCCCCGATTATGATGATGTTGATGATGATGATGTTATGGTGATGATGGTGTACCGACGATGATGTTGATGATGCTGTTCATGATGATGTTGAGGTGATATGATGATGATGGTAATGTTCAGATGCTGATGATGATGCTGTTTTCCCGATGGTGCGGTTGATGATGATGATGGGGACGATGATGGTGTCCCGATGATGGTGATGATGGTGATGATTATGATGATGACCATGGTGCCGACGATGATGGGTGCCCGATGATGATGATGATGATGATGATGATGGTGGTGTCCCGATGATGATGATGTTGCTGATCATGATGGTGTTGATGATGCTGGGATGATGAGATGATGACGAGGGTGAAGATGATGATGATGTCCCGATGATGATGGTGATGATGAGGTTGATGATGATGCTGTTGATGATGATGGTGATGATGATGGTGCCCCGATGCTGGTGTTGATGATGATGATAATGACGATGATGGTGTTCGATGGTGAAGATGATGTTGATGAAGAGGATGCTGGTGAGGTGATGATGATTTTGATTTTGGTGGCCTGGTGATAATGATGATGATGTTGATGTTGATGATGATGGTGTCCCGATGATGATGATGATGGTGATGATGGTAACGATGATGATGGTGCCCAGATGTTGATGATGTTGGTGATGATGCTGCTGATGATGATGATGGTGGCCCGATGATGGTGATGATGTTGACGATGTTGTTCATGATGAAATGGATGTTGCGATGATGATGATGGTGGTGTCCCGATGATGCTGGTGTCCCGGTGATGATGATTTTGATGATGGTGACGATGATGATGCCCCGATGATGATGGTGATGGTGCAGTTGATGATGATGGTGATGAGGTGATGATGATGATGGTATCCCGATGCTGATGGTGATGTTAATGACGTTGATGACGATGATGTCGATGATGATGATGATGACGTTGATTGTGAGATCGGTTGTGATATCGATAGTGCGATCGATAGTGAGACCGACAGTGAGATATATTGTGAGTTCGATAGTGGTATCGATAATGAGATCGACTGTGAGATGGGTCGTCATATCGATTGTGAGATCGATCGGACGAAATATATCTAGTGATATCGATTGTGAGATCGATCGAGCGAGAACGATAGTGAGATTGATAGTAAGATCGATAGTAGGACCGATCGAGTGAGACATTGGTTCCTCCCCCCCCCGAGCCTCCTTATTACCCGAAGGGTGATCGTATATACATATATATATACATACATATATACATATATACATATATGTATATATACACACATATATATATATATATATATATATATATATATATATATATATATATATATCGAATAAGCTCAAGGCTGGAAGGGGCTCGGGTAACGGGGGTTTGGGCGTCGCGTTATGGGGGGGGTCGGTAAATGGGGGGGGTTAGCGAAGGCTGCAGAAAAGGAGCCTTTTGGGGCCCCTCAAGGGGCGATTTGGGGCCCAAAACGAGTCGGTTCGTGGAGGGTACCCTGATGTTCTTGGTCCTTGCTGGATGCTCTTGTGCACCCTGGGGAGGGTACCCTTGGATATTATGTATGTTTTGGCTGGCAGAGGGCCTCTTGTTCTTGAAGCATCTTCTTCTGCCCTGGGTCCGACAGCAGCGGGCGTGACTTGCGCGGGGGGGGCGTTTCCAGACGGCGCTGGCCCGAATCGTGACGTGACCAGGTGGGGTGTGGTTGGGGGGGGGGCGGATCCAGTCGCGGGCGTTCTCGCGAGTCGAGAAACATGGGCTCTGACGCGGGTCGGCCAATCCCCTCGCACGTTGGACCGTTCTTCCGTGCTCCGCCCTTTTGGCCGCCCTCCGCTGGCCCTTGTTTGGGAGCTACGAGATTCCACTCTTCCTGCCTGTGAATTCGCGGTGCCGTTACCCATCGGTCGTTGAAAGTAGGTATTTTTGGTTTCCCAGATTCCAGTCCTCTTTAAGCGCCTTCCTACTTCAATGATCGAGTGGCTTCAACTTTCCCGTCCGCCCCAGGGGGCGGACGGAACCCAATCTTTTTTGAACGCCTTCCTACTTCATGTTTCTACCTACTTTTTCGGACTGATGGGTACCCAGCCTACCTGAGCGAGCGTGCGGACTGTTTCTGCCGCGCTGTGACGAAGAAGGCTTGGGAGCTTCTGGCGACCAGCCGGGCTTCGCGACAGGGCCTTGGCCGACCCAGGCTCTTGCTGACCGGGGTTGGTGGCGCGTGCCCAGAGGCCAGGACGGCGCGAGCGTCGTTTCCACATCGTGCGGCGCACGCGAGCGCGCAGTGACGGTGACCACGTCGCTGGAGTGGCTCTTGCGGTGGGAGGCCACAGGGGCTCCCCGATGGCTGCACGCGCGGCGACGGCGCAGCGGCTTGCGCATCCTGGATTCGGCCCTCCTCCCGAGCTCGCGCACCAGAGGTCGGCCACGCGCAGAGCTGGATCGGGGGAGGCTGGGAAGGTTTTTCAGAAGCACCCCTGCTTCGTAGAGGGCGCGGCCCTTGTCTGTAGACGTAAAGACGGCGCCTTCTAAGAAGCAGCCTCCTTCTGAGAAGCCTGCCCCCTTCCCACCTGTGCGCGGCGCCAAACGGGCCACCTTGCCCAGGGCCTCGCTTAGATGGCGTCGAAAACTTTACGCCGCGCCCGTCCTGTCGTTATCCCGAGCCCGGTATCGGGGCATATATGCGAAGGGCTCAGACGGCCAAACCATGTGCGTCGATGCGTCCACGTGGACTCCCTGGATCGGCGCTGAGACCCCCCCCTCCCCACACGCCTGGCGGCGCCCATATCGGGTGTGCCCTGGGTGCGGGGAGGTCGGCCCGAGTGACAGAACGGGGTGTCTTGCGGGAAACGGAGGAGGAGGAGGCGGAGGAGGGGAGGAGGCGGAGGAGGAGGAGGATGTTAGTAAGAAGGAGGGAGAGGAGGAGAAGGAGGAGGATGAGGAGGCGGAGGAGGAGGAGAAGGAGGAGGCGGAGGAGGAGTGGGAGGAGGAGGAGCGGCTATCGGGCTTCCACTCTCTGCCCTAAAGCCGCGAACGAACGAGGAGGAGGAGGCCTCAGACCTTGTGGCTGTTCCTCCACTGCCAGTTCTTCATCCTGCGCTGTAAGCACTGGGGGGTCCGGGACGGCGGCGCACCCTATAGCTGGTTGCTAGCTCGACCATCCTCCCGCCCCCGCACCTCGGTCATCTCTCCGGCCCCGCACCTCGGCCATCCTCCCGGCCCCGCACCTTGGCCACCCTCCCTGCTGCCGCGACTCTTCGCCCCAAGTCGGCCTTCAAGCTGCCTCGCCCGGACTGCCAGGACCCCCATCTTCGCCGCGAAGATGCAGACCCCCCCAGGGCTCACACATCCTGCGTCGTGTCGTTGACGGTTTCGGGACCCAGGGCAGAGCAGGCACCATGGGGTCAGAAGATGGCAAGCAACTTCCAGGACCTTTTCCTTCAGGACCCGTTCCTGCATGCTTGGGAGGGGATCCAGCGCGCTCCCGCCATTCTAGGAGGGTGCATCCACCGACACTCCGCCAAGGATGGGCCTAGCCAGGATCGGTGCATGTGCCTACCCAGACTTCCACTGCGTGAGGAAGCTTGGTATGTGCACAGTTCCAGATTCCAGGTTTGCATCCTTCGGCGACGACGGGCGTTGACGGGGAGGCGGGCCAGTGGGGGGGTTTGAGCGGGTCGGTATTGTCACGATTTGCTCCGTCGCCGTCTGGGAAATTGGTCCCCCTACAGTGGAGCCAAGAAAAACCCTGCTCGCCTCCGGCCTCCAGGGTGCCCTGGGTGTCTTGGGTTTCGATGGTTTTGCTATGGACAGCGTGATGCTCCCGCACCACAAATCAATGGACGTCCTGGGGTCTCAGGGTTGGATTTCTTGTTGAAGGTTTCTTGTGGTCGGGCCCCCACTGTATCCCTCATGATGCGTTTGTCCTTGTCCAGGGGGGGTATCGGGAGGGAAGAAACTCATACGCCTGGAGACCCGCAAGGGGCCGGCGGCTATGGAGGCACAGTGCTTTCTGTATTGTTTGTCTACGGTGACGGGGGGGAGGGAGTGTTTATTAATAGGGATCTCGGACCGCTCTTGGAGCCATCCTCGGACGGCCAGGGGCAGGGGCACTGAATGGCCAGACTTACGTCGGGCCTGTCCCTCTACAGGAGGAATATGCAAAAATAGTATAAATATAGTCTGGGGACGACCTTGCTAGTTTTTTTCTGTCAATGTTTGGGGCATTTGTTTACTATTTTTCCCTACCTAGGCTCTGCCTAGAAGGGTTCTTACTCTCTTAGCTTAAAGGGACCGGGCAGTGCAAAGCGCCCCGGGCGGTTCCCCCAGTCCCCTGGGAGCGGTTCCCCCCAGTCCCCTGGGAGCTTTAGCTTTAGCTTTAGATTTAGCTTAGCTTTAGCTTAGCTTTAGCTTAGCTGTAGCTTAGCTTTAGCTTAGCGTTTCGCTTAGCTTGTCGCTTAGCGTTTAGCTTAGCTTTAGCTTAGCTTTAGCTTAGCTTTAGCTTAGCTTGAGCTTAGCTGTAGCTTAGATTTAGCTTAGCTTTAGCTTAGCTTTAGCTTATATGTAGCTTAGCTGTAGCTTAGCTTTAGCTTAGCTGTTGCTCAGCTTTAGCTTAGCTTCAGCTTAGCTTTAGCTTAGCTTCAGCTTAGCTTTAGCTTAGCTTTAGCGTAGCTTTAGCTTAGCTTTAGCTTAGCTGTGGCTTAGTTTTAGCTTAGCTTTAGCTTAGCTTTAGCTTAGCTTTAGCTTAGCTTTAGCTTAGCGTTAGCTTAGCGTTACTGTTACTTTTAATGCTGCTTTCCTAGGGGTTCCGACTCCTAGGTAGGGTCGCACTGGGATAATTCATTTTTCGTCCAAAATCCCCCCTGTACGAGGACAGGCCCGACTTAAGGCCAGACGGCGCTGGCGCGCATCGTGACGTCACCCATGCGCGGGAGAGGGGAGCAGGGGCGGTCCCAGGATAACGGGCGCTGCCGCGAGGACGGTGCAGACGGGCTCACAGTTCTGGAGGAGGAGGAGGAGGAGGAGGAGGAGAAAGGGGTGGTAGAGGAGGAGGAGAGGAGGAGGAGGAGTTGGAGGAGGAGGCGGAGGAGGAGGAAGAGGAGCAGGAGGAGATCTTTCATCACAATGGAACAAGCACCGTTCTTCATGTCTAACCATCATCAACAACGAGGTTTGTCGATGTATCCCCACCCAGGTGTATCCTCGTCCTGGCCTCGTTGTAGCGAGGAGGAGGAGGATGAGAAGGAGGAGAAGGAGGAGAAGGATCTCCATCACGACGCAATAAGCCGCAATAAGCACCGTTCTTCGTGTCTGATCAGCGGCATTGCCGCTGATCAGACATTGCCGATCCAGGGTTTTGAACATGAAGATTCTCGATCTATTCTCACCGTTGTGCCTTCTCGTCCTGGGGTCTTCCTGATCAGGAGGATGCTGAGGAAGATAATGGTGGTGGGGAGGAGGAGGAGGAGGAGGAGGAGGAGGATTCTCATCATGACGCAACAAGCGCCGTTCTTCATGTCCGATCATCGTCAACAGCGAGGGTTCTCGATTTACCCTCGCCCAGGTTTATCCTCGTCCTGGCCTCGTCTTAGGGAGGAGGAGGAGGAGGAGGAGGAGGAGAAGGAGGCCTCCCCGCCCAGGGCTGGGCCCGCCCCCTGGCCTCTGCCGCGAGCCCACCTTGTGCGCGGCCGCCCCCGCTGGGCGCACGGCCCTCCGCAGCCAGGCCGAGGTTTGGGGCCTCCCAGCTGGGGTCCGTCAAGCACTGGCGAAGCGTCCCAGCTTGCCTTCAGGCCCACCAGAGAATGTTCTAAGAACCGGAATGTTATTAGAACAGTTCTTGTTGAGACTGTCTCATTTTAACACATCGAGTTTATGTTCTAAGAACATGGTTGTTGCTCTTATAACATTTTTGGGTTCTAAGAACATGTCGTGGTAGGCCTAAAAGAATGGCCAGGACGGTCGGTCCCTGCTCAACGGTCCGACCCATGACCCTCCCCCACAGATCCGACGCTCCGAAGAAATTGGAGCGGCAGGTTTTGTCGAGCAGGGGTTCGGTTGCAGAGTCGATGTGCCCCCAAAAATCAGTGAAGAAACTTCCCCAGTATGTTCAGTAGATCTACGGAGCAGTCTACGCATTTCCATGAATAGATTCGGCAGGAAATCAATTTTGGGGTCAATGAGTGTTGAAGTCGATTCCCTACTCGATGTTTGTCGGTTTCCGGCCTCCAGGGGCCCTCGCCGGGCCAAGGAAGCGTCAAAAACGATTCAGGACGCAAAATTGGCCCACAGAAGAGGTCCTGACCTCAGGGCCCCCTCGCAAAACAAAGTTGCAGCAGTCGGATGACTAGGTCAGGACGCATGCTAGTTCGGTGTGTGTGCTTGCCCCGCTCAGCTCTGCCGATGGCACGCCGCCCGTGCTGGCCCTCTCCAACAACGCCCGCATTGCATCGAAGGGCCCCGGTGGATGAGCACACGCGGGCGCCAACACACCTTCTGAGGCCCATCGGTCGGTCTGAGCAGACGGTCGGAGGGTCGCGCCGGATCGCCGATGCATCGCCGATGCGGCTCGAGGGGGAGCCCGATTTTCTCCACGCTGACGCCGCCGATGCATCGGCGAATGCGGCGCGATCCTCTGGTCCCATCTGTGATGTGCAAATTTCCCACCACCACTGTGATTGGCAAGACGAGGGAGAAGGGAGGATAAGGAGGTCCTCCTCCTCCTCCTTCTCTTCCTCCTCCTCCTCCTCCCTACCTAGCGGTAGTGGTGGTGGCTCATCAATCTGCTCGGACCCCATTTGGGAAGACTCCGGAGGTGTACTCGCCCCTGCGCAGCCAGGCCGAGGCCTTCGTGCCCAAGTGCCTTGCGCTGGCGGGAGTCGCCCGCCCAAGGCTCCTCGGGGCAGGCAGGCTTGGCATCGCTCGGGCGTGTGCTTTTTGTTCTCGGCGATGACCATCTAGGAGCACCCTAGATCGTCGAACCAAAAACCAAGAGCCGACCACAACGCTGTTTAGCTTGGTTTGGGCCTTTGCTTTGTGTCTCGTTTCGTTCTTCGTTGTTGTTTCATGTCGTTTCTCGCTGTTGCTTGAAACGCCCCGTTTCGTCGTTCGTGTTCGTTTGGCACCAGCTTCGTTTTGCACGTTCGTTTTGAACGTTGGGCCTCCTTTCGCTGTTCGTTGTAAGCGCCATTTCGTTTTAGACATCGTTGTGGTCGGTCCCTGCAACAACAACAAAACACGCACGACATCGAACAGTGCACGGGGAATGGGCGTCCGAGCGACGGCGAGCAGAGGAGGAAAGCACGGTAGAGGTTCTGCCTCCGAGGTTCGCGCGCTTTGTGGGTCTCTGCGGTGCTCTGGCACACACTCGCGAGCAATGCATGCTCTGCGCGTGCTCCGCCGCCCGCTGCTCCCTCTCCCCGCATTCGTGCCTCTCCCGCTCCTGTTGTGCCGAATGCGGCCCCGTAGTCTCAAGTTGGGCCTGAGGAATTTTCAAAAATAGTAAAAATATAGTCTGGGGCCGACTTCTCTGCTACGTTTGCTTATTTTAGCATGCTTCGACGAGTTGTCATGTTTCGCCCAAAATCCGCCTGTAGGAAGACACGCCCGACCTAACCGTAGTCTCCCCTGGCTGCCCCGACCGCGTCTTGGTTCCAGGTCGCCGCGACCAGAGCAGCTTGATGGGTTTCTGTCCGCCTTCTCGGAGCCTCTGGTGGGCCGCCGCCCTGAAATGCCCGTCACGACACCCACTCCGCAACTCGGCTTGTGACCCCAGGGGCCCTGACATCTGCGTGGCGAGGAAGGAAAGGCAAAAGGTTTCTGGACGTCTGCAGCCTCGGAGGGCCCTGTTCCAGGCCTGGGAGGCCGTCCGCAGACGAGCTGGGATTCAAAAGCCGATCCCCTGGACGAGGTCCAGACTTCTTGGGGCCTGCGCTGTGAACAACATTACGACGCTGGATGCGTCTGGGGATTTCGGACATATTGATGTCTTGAATGCCGGCGTTTCAAGCAAATTCTTGGCAGAAGAGGACCCCTCAGACCACCCGTCGCCACCCTGGCAAAACAGGACCTCTCGGCCTCCTACATCGACGAAGCTTGCGCGCCCCCTCAAGGGGAGACCACGAGGGCCTGGCTACAACCGAAGCCAGTCGGAGCAGCTTCAGCGGCGTGCGACGCCCACCCCGGCCACTGGTGCCCCAACCTACGGCGCCGCCAACGACGAGACCGGTCTTTCCGCACCGCGGGCAGACCACGACCCCCTGGCGTCAGACCGCGAGGCGACAGAGGCCTCCCCCGACGATGAAGAACCTTGTTCCCCGACGGAATCGACTACGACGAGGACAGGGGCGACGACGCCCCCCCCGACCTCCTCACCGCCCCCTGGCGGAGCAGCGGACGACTCGGTCGACCTCGAGGGCATCCCGCCCCCTCCCTCGCCCGAGACAGCAGGCGAAACAACCAGCGGTAGCCCTCCCGACGACTCCTTGGGGGTGTTCGGACAGGGCGCGGACGGTTCAGGCCAGCCCGAGCAGGGCCGAGCAACGCGCAACGCCAGCGCCGGTCCACCGCCCAAGGTGGAACACGACCCCCCGCGCAGGCAAGACTCCCCAGCTGACGGGCCAGGGAGCAGCAGGTTACCAGCCGCAGCTCCAGACAACCGCTCACCCCCCCCCCCCCCCCGGCGGCGCGACCGCCGGCTCCAGCCAGCCAGCTCCAGACAGCCAGCTCCAACCCCAGGCAGCCATCTCCAGACAGCCGCTCGCCAACCCCCGCGACTGGGTTGTAAAACGGGTCTTCGACGACCTGGTCGACCCCTTTCGATGGTGGGCGCATGTGCAAAGAGCTGTTGGGCAGAGTCGACCTTGACAGGGTCGGGGAGGCACCTGCAGCCAAGATCTCGCGCCTCCTAAAGACCCTGGCAGGAGTGTTCAGCAGCATCTGGCACGCCTACACCCGCAAGCACCCAACAGGGGCCAACGACCCGAAGAGCGACCCCGTTCGGATCCCTGAAGCCACCTGCCGCAGCTTCCTCGACGCCTAGAACCGCTGCGGGTACGATGCCTACGAGATGGACAGCCAGCATGAGGTCCAGGTCAGATGGGGCCGCGAGCGCAACAATTGGTCAGATAACCAGGGCAGAAGCGCCCCTCAGCACAGGGGGCACGCGGCAAGCTCCCCGCAACCCTGGGTTTGGGACACTTGGTCCTGGTCGCAAGCCTGCGACGGCGATGACTGGTAGGCAGGGGGCAAGCGAGGCGGTGGCGACAGCAGCGACGGGAGGGGGGACAAGCGCTCCAACGCGTGGCGTTGACGCAACGGCCTCTGCACACCGAAGGCCCCCGCCAAGCCGAGCTGGGCCCGCGTGCGCCCTGCCCGCGCTGCCCAGCCGCCCCACGGGTCACGCTGGACACAAACCGCTTCGCGACTCCCGCCGCCCCCATGCCGCGGCGGCCGGCGCCGCTCCCCGGAGGGCGCGGTGGCCAGCGGCGCCGCGGCCGCCCGCGCGGCTGCCGGCGCCGCGGCCGCCGCCACTGCCGCCGCCGCCGCCGCCGCCCCCGCCGCGGCCGCCGCCGCCGCCGGCGCCGTGGGCGGCGTCGCGGCTGCGTTCGCAGCGGCCGCTGCCGCTTCCGCTGCCGCCGCCGCTGCCGGTTCCCCGCTGGCGGCGGCGGCGGCGGAGCGCGCGGCGGCCGGCGCCGCCGCGGCCGCCCACGCGGCATCTGGCGGCGCGGCCGCCGCCGCTGCTGCGGCCGCTGCCGCCGCCGCCGCCGGCGCTGCCGCCGCCGTCGCCACCCCTCTTGCGGCGGCGGCGGCCAGCGGCCCCGTGGTCAGCGCGGCGGCCGCTGTCGCTGCGGCCGATGCTGCCGCCGCCGCCGTTGCCAGCTCCTCGCCGACGGCGGCGGCGGCGGTTGCCCCTCTGGCGCCCCGGCGCAGACGACCCACTGGGCAGCCCTGGTAGCCCGCAGACTGCGAAGAAGAACAGGGCCCGTACGGCAGGAAGTCGTCAGGGCGACGGTTCCACCGTCACCAATGCAGCTCACGGCGACGACAGATCGCAGTCTGCCCAGGCACTCGCGCCCCTGATTCGCGGGCCCCGATGCCCGCCAGGCGCCCCTGGGAGACAGCAGACCTCTCCGAGTGGTGCAGGGCCCGTCAGGCCAGCGCTCAGCAGGGTTCGCCGTGGTTGCACCTCGGATTCTCCAGCTGAAGCAGGGCCCGTTAGGCCAGAAAGGAGCGTGGTTCGATATGATCGGTTTTCCCAACTGAAACCGGGCCCGTTCGGCCAATGGAAGTTGCGCCGCCTCGCGCCCCCCGCCCCCTCCCTGGCCGCCCCCCGGCGCGTGTTTCATAGCAGCGCCGCATCGCCTGACCACAGCAGACTGTTCAGCGATGTCTATTTGTCTCGCGATGGTCTGGCCCGCGCGGCCAGAAGGGCGTTGACCTCCCCAGGTTCCTCGCATTATGTCATCAGTTGGCAAGCAGTGGCCGTTAGCCACCCCTGGCATGGTCCCCACGCATCACGGGTTCATGGTGGCCTGGGGCGAGGGCCCTCGCCGAAGGCCCCCGTTTGTTTCACGCTAGACGCAATGCGCCGCGCATCTCGCTGTGGTCGTTGCCGGACTTGCAGGCGGTGCTACTGCCCTGGTGCCGCTCCCTGCCCGGTCTCCGCTGCTCCCCGCCCTTGGGGCACGGGCAGCGGCCTGCCGACAGTGCTGGCTCGTGGACTGCCGCTGGGGCCGTGTCCACCTGTCCCCCGACGGCCTTCGGCCCGCTGTAGTTGTTTTCGCTCTTGGCGCGTCACACCCCCGCGCCCCCGGGCGCCCTCCCGCGCCGGGGTGGCCCCCCGCGGCTGGGCCCCTTGTTCGTTCGCCAGCTCGGTGGTGCCATTTCCCACATGTCCTGGCTTCCTTTTACTGCGCAAATCGCGGTTCGCCTCCCTTTTGGGTGGGGGCCGCTGGCGCCCGTGGCTCAGCCTAGGCACCTTCGTGGCTCCACCGCGCCGCGGCCGCGACTTCGGCTGCAGTGCCGGCGTTCACCCTCGCGCCGTCTGTTCGCGTTTGTCGCCGTCCCTGGTGTGCCGACCGCGGACAGCGCCCACCCCATTTCGGGGCCTTGGTGCGCGACTTTGCTGGCGCTACCGCTCGCATCCGCCCGGCCTTGGCATGCTTATTGGGCACCGCTGAGTTGCCCACCCTGGCCGCATCGTGGTGCCCCCCCGCGCCATTTTGGTCGCGCCGCAGCTTCTGCTGCTCAATTCACTCGCATTCAATTCGGGTCGTGGCTGTCGGCCCACCTGGCTTCGGCCATCCTGGTACTCTGCAGCTCGTTGGTGCTTGCGCCTCTGCATAGGGCACGCAATTCGTTTCGTGGCAGTCGGTTCACGTGGTTCCGGCTACCCTGGTACTCTTGCAGGTCCGTGGGTGCCTACGCCCCTGCATGCAATGCGCTCGCAGCTTGCAGACCCTGGCAGCCGACCACCGTGGCAGCCAGCCCATCCTTGCAGCGCGTTGCATGCGTGCACCCTGGCAGTGCAGCTTCCCAGCAGTTGCAGCCAACCCCCCTCCACTCGGCAGACTGCCCGCCGAGGTGCTGCGGGAGGCTCCGCCCCACCGCTTTAGGTTAATTCGTCGTTGCGCGGCCCGCTCTGACTGGACTCGCCGCTGGCGCTCTCGCCTGTTGCCGCTGACTAAAAGTATCCCCACCAGCCCATCCAAAAGCAGTCGCCAGTGGAGTTGCCCTGATCAGGAATGCGTAGCAGCGTGCAGTGGAACAAGAAGGGGGCAACCGCTACCTTCGCAGTGGGAAGACGACGGATCTCTGGGAGCTTGTGTGGGGCTCTTCGGGGCTTTCTGGAAGAAGTGGGGAAGGGGCTGGAGTGGGGCGAAGGGGTTGGGGTGGAGGGGGGGTGGGGCGGAGGCCGTGGTGACCCTCTGGGGTTCATGTTGAAGGCCTTCGATCAAAGAGGAGAGGTACTATATATCCGCCCCTTGGATGCTCCCACAATCGCCTCTTCGCGCCCTCTTGGGCTCCCCCTGGGGCTTTCTGAAGCCCTCTCCGAGCCATCTTGATGCCTCAAGAGCCAATCGGAAGCTCTGCACCGAAAGCCACTCGGAAGCTCTACGCCGATCGCGAGGAACCCCTCAGGCTCTGAAGGTGCATCTCTGAGATAGTTATCGCTTTGGGCCTGCGAATCTTAGCGACAGGGATGACATCGAGGCGGATGCCTGATCACTGGGCGGGCTGGACCTGACGCGACCTCAAATTCCGTAGGTCTGAATTCCTTTTGGGGGCTTGGGACGCCAACGTGTTATCCGAGGAGCCCGAGCCCACCAGGTCGCCCGTCAGGGCTTCCCACGGTCCGGGCATGTTTCCCCAGAATCGAGTCCTATTCGATGTTAGCCCATACAGATGGGGCCTATGCCAAGAAACACCCTGCTTGCTTCCAGGGTGCCCTGAGTTTTTTCGGTTTAGATGGTTTTGCGATGGAAGGCGTGAGGTTGTCACACCAAAAAGCCATGGACGTCCTGGGGTCTCAGGTGGAAGGTTTCTTGGCGCCTGGCCTCCATTGTAGCCGATACGACACGCGCCGATTCACTCTCCGGCTTGCAGAGGGCCCAACCCGATCCGCGGTTCTCCACGGTCTGGTTTGGATCCGACTCCGCGCCGATGTTACGATTCGGGCTAGCGCAGGCCTGCCTGGTGGGTCTCGGTCTGGTCTGTCTGATGGGTGCGTGCTCAGCTTTCGGGCCTGGGGCGCAACGCCATGCCCTGGGGAAGGTCGGACGGGGCTAGGACGAGGATAAGTCCGTTCCAGAGCGTTCCGCAACGATCTCAGAGCGCTCTGGAACGCTCTGACAAGGCCGCGGCGCCCGAGACATCCTCTAGAGCCGCCGGATCTCAGAGATTCTCGATGTATCCTCGCCCGATGTTGCCCTCGTCCTGGCTTCGTCTGAGAGCAGGTTGAGATTTCTGGAGGCCCAGGCCGGCGCCAGATGCTGGAAGCCCAAGTCGCTCGCGGGGGCCCTGGCATCGCTCGGACGTGTGCACGTCCTACTCGGCGGGGACCATCGATCACCGAGTGCGCTCCACTGCTCGCAACGTGCATACTCGCAACCGTTCGAAAAATATGTGTTCGCCTCGAGGTACTATATCGTACATCCCCCGCGGTGAATCAAGGCTATTTGCGAATTATTTGTTTGCGAGTAGTAAAACGCGCTTGCCCACTCGAGGATCATCTTAGGTCGTCTTGCGGAAAAAACAGCGCGCACGGAATCGAAACATGAACGAGAGCGGACGTCCGATCGATGGCGCGGGGCGCGAAGGAGGTCATGCTGCGCGCGCCGCGGGCTGAGCCGGAGGTCTGCCCCTCCACGAGGGGCCGCGCGGGGGCACGACGGGGCGCGCGAAGTTCCCCGTCGTCGTCGTCGTCGTCGGCGTCGGCGTCGTCGTCGCAGCACAGATAGTGCACGGCCTGCTGGCTGGCTGCCGCCTGCCTGCTGCTGCCTTCGCTGCTGGCCTGGGCCGCTGCCGCCGCCGCCTGCTCTCGCTCATCGCTCGCTCGTCGCGCGCCCCTGGGTGCGCCCCGCCCGCGGCGGTCGGACGCTTCGGCGGGCGGAAGTACGCTCGTGGAGCGTGGAGCGCAGAAGCGCAGTGCACCGAAACTGTTGCCCATTCGTCTTCTTTGCCTTCTTGGGCCTCCTGGGTTTCCCGACACCACGGCTGGAACGGCCTCGAGATCTTGGTCGGGCGGCACCCTGGGAGAGGTCAGGGGAGCAGCGGGACGCGTAGCCCCAGGAGGTCGTTGGTTTGGAATCCGCCCCCTTTCCTTTCGGCGGGGAACAAACTCGCCCCTCCTCCCCCTCGTCGACCGCCTCCCCCTCCTGCTCCTCCGCCTCCTCCTCTTTCTCCTCGTTCTTCTCCTCCTCCTCCTCCACCTCCTCCTCCTCCTCCACCTCATCCTCCTCCTCCTCCTCCCTCTCCTCCCCCTCCTCCCCCTCCTCGTCCTTTCTCCTCCTCCTCGTCCTCCTCCTCCTCCTCCAACTCCTCCTCCTCCTCGTCCTCCTCCAACTCCTGCTCCTCCTCCAACTCCTCCTCCCCCTTCTTCTCCTCCTCCTCCTCCTCCTCCTCCTCCTCCTCATCATCCTCCTCATCCTCCTCATCCTCCTCATCCTTCTCTTCTTCTTCCTCCTCCTTCTCCTCATCATCATCATCTTTCTCTTCCTCCTCCTCCTCCTCCTTCGCCTTCTGCTCCTCCTCCTCCTCCGAGTGTTTCGCCCCTCCCAGGCTCGGCGGCGCCGGCCCAGAGGCTTCCAAGTGGACGACGGTGATGATCCGCAACGTGCCCCTGTCCTACACGTGCGACCGGCTGATCGATCTGCTGGAGTCCACTGGGCTCTCTCGGCGGCAACGATAGAGGGGGATAGGCATAGGGGGGATGCACCGACCCCACATCGCCCATGGATCGCCCATAGGGCCCGATGGCCTCAACCTGCCCAGGAGCGTGCGGATTCCCTGTCGGGGGCCTATCGCCGATCTATCGGCGATGTATCGCCGATTTCAGGTCGAATCATCCCCCCCCCTGTGACTGTCCCCCCCTTTCGTTGCCCCTCATCCACGGTGTTCTCGACGTTCTAGGCTGCTCTGCTCGATCTGCTGGAATCCACGGGTCGGGTGCTGCTAGCCGTGCTTTTGGCCCAAGGTGCCCCAGGATTTCTAAGGAGGCCCCCACGGCCCCCAGAGCACCCCTCACGAGGCCTAGAGGGCCCCAGGGGCTCCAAACTTGAGCGAAAATCTGGGGGCATCTGGGGCCAGGGGTACCTCTAGCAACCCCCGAACGGGATTCTCTAGGCCTCCTAGATGGGGTCCGAGCAGATGGGGTCGAAGGTTCGCGCCGCATCGCCGATTCATCGCCGATGCGGCTTGATGCGGAGCCCGATTTTCTCCACGCCCACGTCGCCGATACACCGCCGACGTCGCCAGTACATCGGCGATGAATTGCCGATGCGGGTCAAGAGACGGGGGGTCAACGCAAACGGGGGTCAGTCAGAGCGCTGGATCTTCAGGATCCTCAAGAGCTGGGGGGCATGGACCCAGGCTTGGGTGCAGGATTCGGCATGATCCTGCTGGATCTTGCAGGACCCTGCGATGCCTCAGTGCAGGGGCCTGGATTGGCCCGGGCTCAGCAGATCCCCGAAATCCACGGTGTTTATGAGGTGGGTTGATTTTGCCAGGGGCGCCCTCGAGGGCGTGAAGTTGCTTGCGCTTCGCGCCTTCGCGGTCCGGCTCCGATCCCTTCTCTTACGTGACCGATCCTGGGAAGCCTTCAGGAAGCATCATTACAAATCCTGGACGCTATTTTCGCATACCGCCGCCTATTTCCGATCGCCCGGTCTTTCCCAAGCTGCTGCGGCGCTGACAGGCACGCCGTGGTGTTACCAGGCACAATGTGGCCGTCGGAGGCCAGAGCGTCGTGCACAGGTCCGTGGTGCTCGCAGGCACGCTGTGAGGCGCACGGGCATAGTTGTGGTGTTCGCGGGCTAGCGCGGTGCCCGCAGGCATACTCTTGGCGAGGGGGGTCTGCAACTTCACCGGATTGCAAAACAGCAGACGCCTCATTCTCATAGCCTGGTGCGGGTCGGCGGATATTCGTCGCGGACCGGCTTGAGTTTGCCCGCTGCAGATCGGTTTGTGCGGCACCGTTTGCTCCATTGACGACCTTTTCAGTCGCAGTTTTGTTGCGGCTTGCTTGCGCATAAAAGCACGTATATTCTTAGATGCCCGTCTCCCTTCCCTCTCTTTTTGTGCGAGGGAGGAGGAGGAGGGGGAGGAGGAAGAGGAGGAGGTGGAGGTGGGGGAGGAGGGGGGAGGAGGAGGAGGAGGAGGAGAGGAGGAGGAGGAGGAGGAGGAGGGAAAGGAGGAGAGGAGGAGGAAGAGGAGGAGGAAGAGGAGGAAGAGGACCATTGGGGACGAGGAGGAGGATGGGAGGAGGAGGAGGAGAGGGACGGAGGGAGGGTGAGAGAGGGAGGAAAAACAGGAGGAGGAGGAGGAGGAGGAGGAGGAGGAGGAGGAGGGGGGCAGGAGGAAAAGGAGGAGCAGCTGGAGCAGGACAAACAGGGGGAGGAGGAGGAGGGGGAGGGGGAGGCGGAGGTGGAGGTGGAGGAGGAGGAGGAGCAGGAGCAGGAGCAGGAGGAGGAGGAGGAGGAGGAGGAGGAGGAGGAGGAGGAGGAGGAGGAGGAGGAGGGGGAGGGGGAGGTGAAGGTATTGCATGGCCACGTTGCTCGGTGGCCTCCGGGGGCCTCCGAGGTCATGAAACCCCTGGGGCCCTACGAGAAACACGCCCTCCAGGATGGCCCAAGCAAAAGAGGCCCAAGAGAGCCCCAAGGGGCTGTCAACGCCGCCACTGCGAGGATGTCTCGGGCAAAACTGCAAAGCAGAGAGTCGGCAGCGTGTGGGGACAGGGGGGTGGGGGCGTCTTCCATGGCAGTTGAGCTTGACGCATGGCCGTTAGTGGGTGGTCAGGCGAGCTTGGCTCGCTTGGCTCGGCGTGGAGCGAGGCTGCTTTGGAAAACAATCCCCCCCCCCTTCCCTCCCGTACGTCGCCGACTTTCGGGGGCCTCCTCCTTCCTCCGCCAAATACGCGGGGCCATGAAGGTTTTGAGATGGCTTCCAGGAGCCCCAGGGGCGCTACGAGAAACACGCCCTCCAGGATGGCCCAAACAAAGGAAGCCCAAGAGAGCCCCAATGGGACTGTCAAGGATGTCTCGGGCAAAGCTGCGCAGCAAAGAGTCGGCAGCACGTGGGAACAGGGGTGGGCGCGCCTTCCATGGCAGCTGAGCTTCACGCATGGCCGTTAGTGGGTGGTCAGGCAAGCTTGGCTCGCCTGGCTCGGCGTGGAGCGAGGCTGCCTTGGAAAGCGCCCACCCCTCCCTCCCACACGTCGCCGACTTAACATAGAAGGTTCTTAGCTGGCACTAAGGAGCCCCAGGGGCCCTACGAGAAACACGCCCTCCAATATGGCCCAAGCAGAAGAGGCCCAAGAGAGCTCCAAGGGAGTGTCAACACCGCCAGTGTGAGGATGTCTCGGCAAAGCTGCAGAGCAGAAGTCGGCAGCGTGTGTCGCTACCTTGCGCTGGCTTCGGCGAGGTAGGATGTCCGCGTGGATCACGCAGGCCGACGTGGACTCGGCTTTAGGCAGTGCGGCGGCGGCGGCCGCAGGCGGCCCGGACCGCCTCGAGGCAAGCAACCAGCTCAAGCAATGGGCCGACAAGGGCGTTGTATGCACGGACGAGACCATCCGCTTGTACTTGGCGCTCCGGTCCCTCCTGAAGGTACCCGGTCCCGACGGCAAGAAGGGGAAGGTCACGCCTGCCTTGATGACGTCGTGGAAATCTGAGAAGTTCGTGAAGTCGGAAACGAAGATGGAGATATACGTGGTGTCCAAGGAGAGCAAGCCCGACCTTCCCAACCAAAAAGTCAAGATCGAGGGCAAAACCGTGAAGATCGCGACTTACATCATCGAGCATGACAAGATCAAGGACTTGCCAGGGAATTTCTCGGACGAGAAGTTTTGGTTGGTGGACGGCGTCGTCCCGAGGACAGCACGCGGGGCCGGCGTCGCCACGCATTGTTCTTCGATGGGCTCGAACGCGACCAACGACGGCGGCGCTTCCTGGGCTCTCCCGGCGCCGAGCCCGTCGCGCGGCAGTGCAGAGGAGGCGCCGCGCGCGACAGAGAAGGCGCGGAGCCCGGCAGGCCACGATGCCCAGAGCGCGTTTGGGCAGTCTCTCCTCGAGGCCACCAGCGCCGGTCAGAGTTTGCGAACTATTTTAGTCCAGTTGGTGAACAAGTGGAATGAGAGCTTCCGGGCTGGTCGGTACTCCTCCGCAGACCATACGAACGACCGGTTTGCCCAATTCTGGCTGAGAAAGTTCGTGAGGATGATCAAAAACATGGACGAGGAGAGCAGGAAGCAGGCAGCGATTCGCGACTTTGTGAAACACGTGATCAAGGAGGTGCTCGAGAAGGGCACGCGCGACCACTTGGGCTCCGCGGTGCTCCAGTTGGAGGCGATCAGGGACAATGTGGACAAATTGGGCTTCTTCCCCACGCTCGGGAAGGCCATCCTCGCCATGGCCAAAGAGGACACGTTGTTGAACCCCCCTGACTTCGACGAGATCGTCGCCCCGGATCGGGGGGCCTCTTGTCCCGTCTGAATTGCCTCTTGGGCCGTCTTGGCGCCCTCCTGGGGCTCGTCGTTGCAGGACATCATTTTTGTTCATCCACGATCGTTTTTATGTATCTGGGGTCCGGGGCGGGGGTCATTGGGGGCGTTTTGGGTGGCTTGGGCCGCGGTGCCCAAATCGGTGTGCGTTTTCGTGAGGAGTGAGCACAGTCGGATGCGAAGAGCCACCCCGCGGGCAGAGTATCATTTTTGTTTGATCGACGGCCGTTTTTTTTGTAACTGGGGTCCGGGGCGGGGGTCATTGGGAGCCTTTTGGGCGGCTTGCGCGTCTGTGCCCAAATCGGTGCGCGTTTTCGTGAGGAGTGAGTAGGTTCGGATGCGAAGAGCCACCCCGCGGGCAGAGTATCATTTTTTTTGACCGACGGTCGTTTTGGGGGAACAAAAAAACCTGAGGTCCGGGGCGGGGGTCATTGGGGGCGTTTTGGGTGGCTTGCGCCACGGTGCCCAAATCGGCGCGCGTTTTCGCGAGGAGTGAGTGCCCAGATCATCCGCTACCGGATTTTTTCGGTAGCGTTAGCTAAAATCGGTAGCACTAAAATCACACGCAATTTCGGTAGCGACCGACCTTAACGCTACCGGATTTTTTCGGTAGCGTTAGCATCGAAATTTCGGTAGCGCTAGCAGCGAAAATCGGTAGCGTTAGCATCAAAATCGGTAGCGTTAGCGACCGCGCCGACGCAAACGTTTGTCACATACATGTTTGGGGGTCGAGCACTGCGCAACAACGCGTTCACAAACGTTTGCAAACGTTTTCCTTGGGGACTCCGCGCACGCATAACCAGCGCACGATGTGGCCACGAGGCGCACGTATACATATATGGATATAAGTTGCAGCTATGTGTATGCATGTGTACATGCGTGCTGATATGATGACCTATGCTTTACGGGTTGATATTGCACGAACCTGACCATGACTCGATGCTTGATAGGCTGATAACGATCATGATGAGACTGAGTGAGGTAATGATGAGGAGTGATGGGGGAGGGGATGGTGTGTTGCCTCTCTGGCGCGCCACGATCGCGGGCGGACATCACCTTCTCTCGCGCAGTGGAAGGTCGGCCCATCACGGGGGGCCTCTCGAATTGGCGAACTCCCAGTTCAAACAGATCTGGGGGGCGGATTTGGTTTTGAATCGGTAGGCGCATGAATTCTGCATCGGCCCTCCAGTCAAACGTTTCCCCCCTGGAGGTCCGAGGGGAGGGCGGGAGGGAGGAGGGATGAGGGGAGGAGGGATGAGGGGAGGAGGGGAAGGGGGGGACCGAGGAGAGGAGGGGGAGAGGGGAGAGGGCCGATGCAGAATTCATGCGCCTACATATTCAAAGCCAAATCCTGCCTGCGTCGCGCTGGCGTGCGGCTCTCTCCTCCCTCATTTTCTCGAGTTCATTCTACTTCTCCTCGCGCAATTTCTGCAAGGCTTGCTGTCGGGCGTGCTGTCGGGGCTGGTTTCGGGCTTGGTTTCGAGCTTGGTTTCGGGCTTGGTTTCGGGCTTGTCGGGCCGCTCTTCGGGCTCAAGCAGAGACAGCAAGAACAAATCTTCGTCCTTCATTTCTAGGTGTGCCGCCATTGTCCTCGGGAGCCGTGGAGCTTCGAGCCTAAGGGTTGAACGGCGCCGATGGAATCCCTCATTCCCCTCCTTCCTCATCCTCCCCCTCCTCCACCCCCTCCTTCCTCATATTCCCCCTCCTCAGTACAGCGAAAACGTTTGCAAACGTTTGCAAACGTTTGCAAACGTTTGCAAACGTTTACAAACGTTTGCAAACGTTTGAAAACGTTTGCAAACAGTTGTGGCAACAACGGCCAAACCAACCACCAACAAACGATCAAACAAACCACGATCCCGACTTCGATCGTTTTCCCAATGATTCCGAGGCGTATCCAGCTGTGGCAACGGTGGCCAACACAACCACCAACAAGCGCTCAAACAAACCACGGTTCCGACTTCGATGGTTTTACCAAAGATCACGAGGCGCATCCAGTTGTGGCAACGACGGTCAAACCAACCACCAACAAACGCTCAAACAAACCGCGGTGCCGACTTTGTCCAGTCAACGGCGCAGCGCTGGCGGTGGCACTCTGGGCCCCAGCACCAAACGAGACTGGCGCGGATGCACGACCGTGCGAAAAAAGTAAGCACAGTCGGTCCCCGACGGGGGTGCTTGCTGCAAGCGGGCCCTCGACAGCGTGCTTGCTGCGGCACGGGCCTGGTACGAGACGCAGTTACAATGCGTGTGTGTAGGTTCATGCGTATGCAAATGCACATGTAACGTGTAATATATGTCTATATGCATGTGCAATTGTATGTGTATGTTTACACGCGTGTATGTATATATGTGCCAGTATACCGATGTAGAAATGTTAGGTTGCATGCCAACTGGTACGCGTGTGTGTATATGCATGCGTGTACGTGTGCACGTGCGTATGGCCATACGGTGCACCACGCTTATTCATATTTTACACACACATATATCTATATCTATATACATATATACATGTATGTATATATGTATCAGCGCTCACCCCTCACCATCCATTATATCATCTTCTTGACTGCCCGTGCCGCGCAAGACTAAATCACACATCGAGCCCACGCTCGAACTCAAAATATCTGCCGATGCGCCAGCGCTCGCAGACCTTCTGCGATAACTTCAACGTCGGGGAGCCCATGAGGCTGGCTGCCCCGATTTTGACTATATGCCTCATGAAATCCTCTGCCATGTAGCACCACTGGAATTTTGGGTTGCAAAACGCAGCCCCCTGGGCAATGTGGTAAAACATGTGGTGCTTATTCACAACCGAATACTTGAGTACTCTATTCTCCATGGCATTCTGGGCCAAAGCAGAGTAAAGCAACAACACGTTTTCCACCACCTCGACAACTTCGTTGGCTGCCTCTGGGGTCAGAAACATGTTGCTGGTGTCCAGCAACTCGTAGTACCTGGCCATTTTCCTAAGGCATAAAGTGCGCATCTTCCTCATATCGCGGATCTCTGCAGTTGCCCCGCCTTCCCAATTGGCCGATATATTTGTAAAGACGGGGATCAGCCATCTCTGCTGCGACGCCTTTAAGGATTTGCTGAGGCACGGGAACTCACTGTGGGGCGAGTCAGGTTTCGGAATAAACATTTTTCGCCCAAACTTTGTTGTGCGATGTGGAATGTTTAAATCGTGGTACTGCTGCTGGATCTCCGTCCATAAGTCTTGAGTCGCTAGTTTTGCAGGCTTGCCAGACTGTTCGTAGACTATCTCGTAGCACACGTTAGCGACGATATGCGATACGACCCCGAGGTCGACGACGTGCATGCTGTCGAGGGCGAGGCTGTTGCCTGTCACCCCCCACGCGTCGAAGAGGGGATGGGTGAAGTGAAACGGTGGGTTCCGCGGCGTCGTCATCCAATGGTTCGGCCGCCTGTCCTTGTGGAAACAATTCCAAGGCATTCCTAAGTCGTCTCGATTGGCTGAGCACAGCCAGCACATCTCCTCACACTGAGGCGCTGGTGTTCCAAGATCTTTTGAAAAAAAATCCATATCACCAAGGATGCTATGCACCCATGCCCGATACGCGCGCGCCTTAGAACACAAAAACTTCCCAGCCAAATCGGCTCTACGAGATCCCGCTGGAAATTCGTTGTCGTTCCAATCCAACTCCCCACGTGTAAGCGGGACGGCGCGTGAGCACACCTAGCATCGTCGCCATCATCCATTATTCTCCCCATCTTCCCCCCATCCTCATATGCCATGGTTTATCCCCCCCACCCTCTTTTGACTGTACCCCCCCGCCCCTTATGTGATAATCGGCGGACGGGCGGATGGCCGTTTAATCGCGTCTGGGGTGCAGGCCCGTTGCTAAAGCATCAAGTGACCATCGAATGATTCCCCAAATCTCCCTCCACGTATCTACGCCGTGCTCCGACTGTTTAGCAGTTGCCGACAATGGCCAAGCTGTTACCAAAAACGACAGAGCACGCGTAGAGCCTACAGCAAGCAGCGAAGTAAAACTCACGGCCGTCATAGAATCGTGCGTTTGAAATTCAGCACCGTCCCCATGTATACGTAACGGTATACACCATTGTTTGTAGTCTCGTACGCGCCACACTGGATGTCCTCTTAAACGAGGATCTCGCCTTCCGAACCCAGAAGGCATTTCCTCTGCAAGTTCCACCCTCGATGTCCACGTCGTTTTCCCGCGCAATCAAATTCAGCATCAACACGTGGGTCAGATGAAGCAAGACTTGTTGGACGCGAAGGCAGCAAGGGTACCCTTGGACCGAAAAAACAGACCCGACGAACGTGAGGGTACCCGTGTGAATTGGATTCGCACCAGATGCTGAATTTGATTGGACAATCGTTCGTTCCCGCGCCCAGGCGCCCCTCCTCTTCACCCCCCGTCTCCTCCAAGCCCATCCCCCCGCCATCATTGTATTCGTCCGTTCCCAAGTTTTGCCGAGAGAAATGCCTCGAGGCCCCGCTCCAGAACATATCGAGATTCTCAGAGCCGAACAAGGAATGAAATTGGCCTTCGTGGTTGTGAAATAGCGACGCAAACATGTCATGGGGGCATATGATGTCGCAATCAGCGCTCATGATATCCAATGTACGCGGGGCTCGGCACCGAATCTTGACAGTTTCAGGCAGTGGAAAATCGTTATGCTTTAAATACCGCTTCGTAAGGTCCCTATGTATGTTGCCCGCGGAGGAACCCCACGCGCCCGTTCCTGCCAGAGAAGCTATTTCGTCAATATGTAACCCATCGCGAAATGCAGAATGGCAATAGCGTTGCACATCCGTCGCTTGAATTTTACCCCATGCCCAATCATGTAAAATCATTGTTGCTAAGGACGAGGGCGTAGATGCTGGCCGTTCATCCTGTGGGTAGGGCCACAGGAAGGACTTAAAAAGGGGTGCGGAAGGATGTGGATCGAGGTACGGGTGGAGGGAGGGAGGTGGAAGGAGTTGGATGGAGGACGCTGGGCACTGGGGGTCGGGGCACGGCGCTGGAACTGCAAACTTGGGCAGCCCATGAGCTCCTCGTCGAAATCGCTGCCATCAGAAGCGTCATCTCTAAATTCATCGGAGTCTTGGATATCTAGACGGCGCTTCCGACGGCCACGGCCACGGGCAGGCGCGGCCATAGCTTGGCACCTGAGCCAAAGCAATGGCACTACTGTAAATGCTGTAAAGTCTCGAGCGTCAGCACATATATGTCATGAGACTTCGCGCTATGCAGCGCGAATCATTGGCCACTGGGTTCCCCTGAAGAACGATAACAGCTCTCCTGAAACCACTCACCATTCGTATACTCAAGTGCCCCCGTCCCCGCAGTCGACGCTCGGCGTAAGGATGCGCTGGAAGGATGCGAGCCTCTTGGGCGCCGTTTGGATGTGCAAAGATGGGTCGACAGGTAAGGATGCAGCGGTACCTTGGGTAACCCCCTTCCCCCCCCCCCCACGGGTCGGTATGTTCTCGATCGGAGCCCC